AGAGTATAAATATAACATGCACGTCAAATTGAAGTAACGGGTTATGATTATTGTTTGAAATACAGCTGATTAAATTTCCAAGTAATCTTTTGTTTGCCCCAATGCTTTCCACCCTGGAAAAACAGTTAACGACCTAATTTCATATTTTTTTTTAATATTATATGTTTGAAAAGTGAAAAATCAACAAATAAAAAGAGTCACACATAAACGAGGGTAAATCTGTGTACAGTGTAAGAAAAGTAGGTCTATGTAAAAATAATAAATTTTCAAAAATTTCTTCAACAGCACCTCTCACTGCAATTAAGTAGAAAAAATTTCAACCTGAAATTAAAATCATAAGGTAAAAACTGACAAAATTTAGGTTTTTGTCAAAACCAGGGTGCTCAGTTACTATTCAGTGATTTTGGCAGTATGGTGAACAGTGAAAGGGGGCGCTGGGAAGCCGCCTCTTTCTATGACGTTTGGTTAACATTGAATGCTGTATTTTCCACTTTTGAATGAAAATTTATTGAATTCGATTATAATTATTCTATAACGTGTTTATCACGTACTTTGAGGTTGACAGACTATGCACGTCAGAACAAAAGGCCCCACAAAAGACTGTGAAATATATTATCGGTTCAGAATATTTCCGATTAATAAGGTGGCAAGTAATGAAAGCGATTTAATCACATTTTTACTAAATCTATAAAATCTTTTTGTACCTTGGGCGTATTAAACATGCTTTAATGCCAGTGCTTGCCAAATCACAGGAAAAATAATCTAGGCCTTTTTGTGTGTACATGTGTGTGTTCGCGCGCGTGCAGGGTAACCTTATCCATTTATCAAATCACTACCTATCTTACTGTAAAAGAGTTCTATAAACACGGGGGAAGTAATTTATGTGTGTGAGTGCGTACTAGGCAGAACAATATTCAATTATTAATCCTCATTCACATAACGTACGCAGTTTTATTTACAGATGCACTGATAGAATATTACCCATGGGATATCATGTTTTCAATTTCTAACTCGCCCTTTTTATAGGAAATGGAGAAGAAAGCGGACTGCAGACCTCATTGTGCTGTGGCAGCTGTTTTCCATGACGTCATCAAGGGGTTATTATGGTTCTTACAGGTCCTAGTTCAATAATGATACTAATGAAGGTACGCAACTATCTCCTTGGGCCGTATGGATAAGTTTATCAGTGTGTGTGTGTGTGTGTGTGCGTGTGTAGGTGTGTTCAAGATATAGCAATTACTGAAATATAGGAGCCACATCAACCTTTCACCTTTATGATTAAAATTACGATTATGTCAGTGTAGACATAATATGAATTAAGTGTAGGCCTATTTATTTACAAACTATAGATGTAAATTTGTGCCATTTATTTAAACAAGTCCTTTATTCCGGCTAAAACGTGTTAGCATACATGCAGTACAAAAATAGGTAATAATAACAATAGATGAACATCCATTATAGAAAGTGACTCCAAAGTCCAAAATAAAATTTAAAAAAAATTAAGTAATGTAGGCCTAACCATTAAAACAGAGCAAAAATTCTCTATTTTTTTCTTTGGTAAAATGTGAAGCTGATATAAATATATTTTTTGTAGTTGATATATTAGTTTTAATGTCACCTTAATCTTATCAAAATCTGAGCAGGCTGATGTTTAATAAAAGAAATCAAGACAGTCAATAAAGGTTCCGACGCCTTTTTACGCAGTTAGAAGTAAACTATCCACGTTTGAAACAGTCCCGAATTTCCCAAATTAATATTTTCTATGTCTATATAATCTGCACAGCTAATTTTCTTTCACAAATCTGTAAAAACCTTCAAATGAAAGTACCTGATGCTGACAATTCCATGTGAAATATACAGAAGACATTGCGTTCTAAATATTACGAGAAATATTTAGAAATAAAGTAGTTTTAAAAATGGCCGAGCAGTGATTCGACTGTAGGCAAAAAAATTTAAAGGAAAATTTGATTTTGCGGGAAAAACATATGGGATACCTTTAAATGGTTTGATCAAAGCTTTATCTCATTTATCTGAAAATTTTATTAATAATGAATGCGGTATCGAAATATTCAAAATCGTCCTCACAACCTACGACGCAAGCAGTTTGAAAAGACATTACCTTATTTACAGTTAACCTTAATTCAGAAGTTTTGTGAAAAAAGCCGAGATAATAATTCCTACTAATGTAAGTAAATATACTAAACGTATATGGACCTGATGATCTTTAAAAGACGTTAAGTTTTAAAACTGGAAATTATGCTGTTTATGTTCATGTACCCCCTTATCATTGAGAAGATGATTTGGTATTGACTTGTTCAACAAGTTCTATGCTGACTATGTGAAGAGGAAGATTGCGGAAATGTTTGGCGATTTTTTTCCTCTACGTATAATAGACTGTAGGTCCGGTTTCAGGGAATTTTGATAACATCCTACTGGACGCTTAAATGGGACTATTATGTCGACTACTTAAAATTATGAAATACATATGTGATTAACAAACAAAAAAGTGGTTGAAAACATGTGGAACTTCAGTCTGGTTTGATATTTCACTTTATTTTGGGAAGTTTTTTTTTCACTGGTGTGTCACAATTAATCAGAAACGACAATGAACATTATTTCAACTACGTGCCCAATAATACTTCAATATCCATTTCTTAAAAAGAAAAAAAAAATGATGAATAAAAACCATGAGCGACTTAGAAATACCCATATATAAATTTGGCGAAACCCCATTGTATCACTCATTTAACCAACAAAAATTAATTTTTCTAATTTTTTCCATCTAAACGTACTTTTTAAATAATTATTTATTCCACAATAAATAAGACTCAAAAGCACAAAAATGATATTTTATGGGCATTTCACATAAAATTGAGGAAAAGTGCTAAACAATAACATTCTTAAAAAATCTCACTTCATCTTAATTTTCTATTTTAGAAGCAAGACAATTTTATACGTAGTTTTGTTAAGCAAATCTTGAATTTAATTCACATTAGCCATCTACATGCTAATTCAACTTCTAGCACATGGCTTTATCTCATATATCTAAAATCTTTTAATCATATTCACAATATTGTTCGTCAGTTAAGTAGGATGAATAGAATTTTTCAAAATTTCAAAATGCCAAATTTTGCTGCATTTCTGAATATTTTCCTTCTTTTCCAATTTTTGTTTTGTTAAAATGTACCAATTGACGACGAATAAATTTCATGTCAAATTATTTTAAGTAAATACACACTTCGTTTCCACAGCAATGTTTAAGATACTTTATTATATACTTTATTTACACGTGATATCATGTGATTATCATCAATCCAAAATATAACTGTTTCATGTGGTAGACCCATTTCAATGGATTGTAGACTTATATCTTGAAAAAATGAGTCACATTTATATATAAAACACGTCAAGCGATCATGAAGATCAAATGGCTAAATTATGTGTGGTTCATGACGTCTAAATATATCAGAAAGTAAACAAACCAATTCTTTTCGCCCGCAGAGTTAATAATTTATGAGTCGTCGAGACCTGTTTGCCCCTTGTTAAGTCGGCTTCGTTAAGTAGGTCACATAGCGTGGTGTAAAAATGATGGAACTATCAGATATGGGGGAAAGGGTATTTGCTGCAGAATACATCGTCAAACGACGAATTCGTAAGGTAAGCGTTGGCGTCTCTCACATGTACTCAGCTTTTCAGATTCACGACAGCAGAGAGCACTCTAACCACTCTAAAATTTCTCTCATTTTTGCAGGGCAAGGTGGAATATCTCGTCAAATGGAAAGGCTGGAGTCTGAAGTAAGTAGTCCCTGTATTTTACCGGTTACAGTCTTGCTTGTTCATTGTTGTGGGTGCAGGCTTCAAAGAGAGTCACCTCTTCATTCTGTTTTTCAGGCACTGCACTTGGGAGCCAGCGGGAAACATCCTTGATCGCAGACTGATCGAAAATTTTCAACGAAGGTGAGTGAAAGGGCTTGTCAAAATCTCGGCCTTTGTGTATCACTACGACGCATTAACACACACACACACTTAGAATGGAAAGAAATTCCCCAACAATATATCGTGGTTGTGATCAAAATAATTGTTCTATGTAAGTTATGGTTTTGAGATTTAGCCAACGCATTTTGCATTAGATGCTAATTACTTGGCCTTTATTATTTACTTGCAAGCTCTAAAATCCAATAGAAACGTCCGATGGTGTATCTCTGACCTTCCTAGCCAGCCGGCCTGGCTTACAATGCAGATGTTGTTGACGTAGAAAGACAGCTTTTCTGTTTGGATGCCGGTCCTTTGTGTGGCCCTCTGCCTCCTGTTTTTCCCTAGAGCCTTACATAAGCGGTGATGCAAGCGACGTTATCTCCTGTTTGTTAACCGTGGCACGTCATATATTACATGAAAGCATGAATTCTTATGGTAATTGGGCAGACACTCAGTGTGCCGTAATGATATTATTCGAGATCTCCAGCGGATTCAGATTTGAAGATAAAAAAACTTAAGTAGAGCCTGTATCTGCAATATAAAATTTTAGAAAATTGATTGACATAATATAAGAATGCGGGGCCTATATCTTCCATATGAAATTGAAAAAGAAATGAGACCGGTTAAAAAAGCTGTCAGTTTGTGGGAATTTTATTTTTTTTATCATAAAGTTGAACATCTACTAGATTTAATGGCATTCATTAAACAACTAATTTTATTTAAAAATATTGGTATTGTGGGCTTCAAACTGTCTTTTCCACCAATTTGACAAGGGACGTGTGCATGTGGCCTATATATGTTGTAGCTACTGCCACAATGATAATTTATCCCCACCTTTGCCTTTTTATGAATGGCGTTTGAAACAGATTATTTATTTTCTTTGTTTGGCTAGCTGATTTTGAATTTGAATGTCAAAATAGTGGAAAAACGTAAAACTGTATATATCCTCATGTGTCAACCTGCAAACAGTGTAAACATGTGACAAGTGCCAAACACGAAGGATTAGCCCAATATTTATATAGAGTTAAACAGAGTTTTGAGTTATTCCTAAATGAATTTGAAAAATATGGCCTACACAAGCATGCAATCGATTTTTTTTAGAATAATGATAATTAAGAAAATGATAATTAGTAATTACTAACTAATGAATGCGTCCAGTTTACCGATGATTTGCGTTTTCTGTATGGTTATTGGATTCAAAGTCAATTTGCTCTATAAGTTAATTTGAATGCATATACAGCTTTTAAAACAATTTTCTTATTAAATTAATAAAGATTTGTTGAATTGTATTAGAAGGTAACCATAACAATTTTACACTATTTATGTCTACGGCAAAGTCGACGTTACTTGTAGCAGTTTTATTTTTTCAATCAGACGTGAAATAAGTGTGGATAATTAAAAGCAAAACGTGTTGTCTTTCTAAATTGATTATGGATTTTAAACCAAGCGGTTAAAAAAATTAATCGGCTGAACTTTTCTCGGTGTAACGTTGGCGTCTGTAGGGGATTCAGAAACGTTACGATTGAACTATTTTAAAACGCACAAAGTCGCTTATGAATTGAATGTCGGTCACAAAAGAATTTGAAAAACTGAGGGGTAATGAAAACTGTCAATTCTAGTTAAATCTGCGGGGTTTAAAATTACTTTGTTAGTATAAATACTTTTGCGGTATTAAAATTGATTTTACACACATGCAAGTATATTAAAAGTCGCGTACATTGGTTGCGTATCTTTTGCGCGAAATTAGAACAATCTCCCAGTGACCAGACGGGTTTCTGTAAGAGTGTTTATAACTAGTGCAGAGGTTCACTTTAAACCTACATTAAGATAGTTAAGGAACTTAATACGTCAAGTGGAACAGAAAGCTGAATTTTTAATGTCAAAATCTTGTTTTTTAAAATTTAAAGAAATTAACAGCAATCACATAGTAATTGAAGGAGATCTTAAATGAAACTTTGTGTATAAATCAATTTAATTCTAGGTTTGAACCAATAAAAGTGCCAATATTTTTAGAAGCTGAAAAAATGAAAACAGTTGTATGTAAAAGTCAGCTTGATAATCTTCGCTATTTTTAATAATCCAAGACAAGCATCTCTCTTCCTAGCGAAAATTGATATTATCTTAAATGTCATTTACAATGCTTATAGCGATTTCAAATTTTAAGTTCCGAATAAAATGAAGCATTGGCCTTTCAAAAAGACATGTCAGGCTAGGATGTACTTTACAATGATATCAGTTAATCGACGGAAAGACCGGTAAACCGGCAAACTTAGAAAAGGGACCTGATTTCATTTCATTAGACTTTAACACCTACTGGGAAGCACATGGTAGAACTCATATGAAAGTAAATAATATAACTAAAAGGGGAAAGGATGAGAAAAAGGTGTCTCAATCGATAAAAAAGATTTTCATATAAGTTTATAATATGTTTCAATATGTCTTCACACAGTACGATGTATATTGGGCAAGCTGCCTTTCGTGATAATTGCCGCTCTGCTGATAAATTGACAGCAATATCACATACTCATGATAATCTCCTATTTTGCAAATGTTTGCAATTCAATGGTAACAAATGATATATATATATAATTTTTTTTTTGAAAATGTTATAACAGGACTAATTTTTTAATGTGTTTTGTATGTTGTTATAAGAAAATCGATTTGTGACATGTTTTGGAAACTGATAAATATTGTTTCTGAGATATTTTAACATACTTAATAAATCTATATATAAGGAAAGAGAAGTGAAAGCTCAAAGCAAAAAGAGAAACTATATAACTTATCCATGTAGGAACCTTAGTTTTATTTCCGTACGCTGCTCACTTCATATAGGCCTAGTGTTGACAGTGAAGTTAGGTAAAAAGGGAAAAGTTCAATTTTGCCCTATACACGTGTTTTGTATATAAATTCTGGACTATTTGCCAGAATGGGGAAATTCCCGACAGTGAAATACCTAATTCCGCTTTTTAATTTGGGTTTTCGTGTACTCGAAAATAATATCTGTAGAAGGCTTTCCAATGTAAGGACTTTGAATATCTGTATAATTGCGCAATGCCCTTGGAGTTTTCTATTTATACACCGTCAAGTCTGTCTTGGTTATATACAACGTGACCTCTGCCTACTGCAAAGGAGAGAAAATTTGGACAAATTCCAATATTCGTGAATTGACTTTAGTTTTGTGAGTGCGAGGGATTTGATTATGCCAGCGTATCATTAGGTCATCCTTTGGAGGGTGGTGGGGTTGGTGGGGGTGGTGTGTGTGTGT